GTCCCTCTCATACCCGGAGCTGATGGGTAGCGTCACGTGCTCATCTCAAATCCAATTGCCAATACTTAGCAGACATCCATTCTCCTAGTGAGCTGTGCTAGCCCCAGAACAGAATCTTCTCTTGATGCCTCAGATTCCTAGGAGGAAACTGAGTCAAGCTACAGTCCTCAGATCAGATGCAATCAATTTTTTAAAGCTTCGGCCCCTGGTACCTACCACCCCTGGGCCCTTTCCTGCCCCAGAGGGCTTTGCCTGAGAGCACCGCCCCTCTCAGGGGACACAGCATACCACCCAGTCTCCTCTGCCCCAGCAGGGACCTGAGTCTCCAAGGCCTGGAGTGAGCCAGTGCTGATGGGAGCTGCCTGAGGACACAGGCACAGGGCTTTGCTAGTACTGACAAGCTCTTGGTCAGCCAATCAGAGGCAAACCGAGGAAGGGACTGAAGCCTCAAGCTACGCCCTGCTTTTGGTCTTCTGGGTCAAGAGCCTAAGCTGCCCTGGACAATCAGAGTTTATCGGTGACAGTACTTTCGTGAATGGTGTTACCTCCCGAGTCTGGTGAAGTCTGCTGGTGAACTGTTATCTTCCCCCTCAGTGTTGCTGCAGGACTTTGTCCTTCCGTATGTGCCTTCTTCATGGATGGGTATTTTTATGGGAGACGGGGAAAGGACACGTTGGGTGTTGATAGAGGGGCACCATTTTCACACTCAAGTTGGCATTTTATAAAGTCTGAGAGCTGTGGTTCTCAGCCACGGTTGCACACTAGAATCACCTGGGGACTGTCAAAAATGCCCAGTGTCCCAACCGCACCCTGGCCAATTACACGAGACTCTCTGGGGTGGAGTCCAAGCATTGATATCTTCAGAATTCCTCCAGGCAACTCCAGTGTAAAACCCAGGCTGAGAACCTTTAGCCCAGAGCAGGGAAAGGGCTTCAGTTCTCATTCAAGTTCTTGTACTGTGTGACTTCAGTCATAACCTTTTCATCTCTCGTGCCTCAGTTTCCCCATTTTAAAATGAAGATGGTAATGCCTGCCCCTGTTCAGTTTACACAAGACTATGATGGGATAATCAGATTAATGAGAATGGAACCAACAAAAGACTCATGACTTCAAGGCCAACAGTCCGGGGCCCTTCGCAGGCTCTGGGGTGGCAGGCAAGGTCGTTCGCTCATTCACAGATACACACAATTCCCCAGGGCAACTTCTGTGGAAGCTGCCTTCTCCAGGCTCGGGACTAGGGAGAAGATACAAACCCATCTTTGTATCTACTACTGTGGGGCCCCTGGCCGCCCTGCCCCAGCTCAGACTCCAGGGTGGGAGACAAACAGCAGAGCTCCGCAGTGGTGCACAGGCAGACACTCCAGCGGGCAGTGGTGGGGGCAGGAGGCCTGAGGGGTCGCAGGCACGGTGCACTTCCAAAGGGCAGTCTGGACAAATGGCTTAGTGGAAAGTGGAGACTTGGAGAGCAACTAAGAGCGTGGGCTCTGATGTACTACTTTCCAATTTAAAAACACCGGAAGAGCTGTTCTTGCCACAAAAACAAACAAAAAAAAATGGGTAACTATACAAGATGATGGATATGTAATTTGCTTCACTATAGTAACCTTTTTACCATCTATATGTATCCCATAACACCACGTGGTGTACCTTAAATATACACAGTAAAGTTGATTTTTAAACAAAAAACACCATAAAAAAGAGGAGAAAAAAAATAAGCTTGGTGTCCATAGCAGGCAGACCTAGGTTCGAATCCCAGCTCTGCCATCACCACAGGGTCATGGGCAAGTTGCAAACTTCTCTATGTCAGATTCACCATCTGTGAACTGGGGCAATAACAAGACCTGCCTTGTGGGATCCTTGTGGTGATTAAATGAGATATCGCAGCGAAGGCACCCGGCTCAGTGTCCGGTTCACAGACAGCAGCTGCTGCCGCTGTCGTTTTACATATAGATGTTGATATAAGTATACACACGAACACACACAGGCATGTAGATACTTTCTTTTTGTAATTGATGAAACTCAGATTGTTATAAGCTGCGACCTAAGCTCATCGAAAGCTGGAACTCGAGTGCCTTCTCTTGGAAATCTTTCAGCCAGTCCCTGATATGCTGCCTAAGGAGACCGAGGCCCTGCCTGCCTAGATAGCACCTTCATCACACGCAGGAGACAGGTGTTAACCGACTCATCTCTGAGGGCTTCCGTCTCTGCAGGTGCTGAGACTCTGGCATCAAGAATGCTCAGCTGCAGTCCGCAGTGGGGAGGGGTGTCGGACTGTAGGAATGGCCTGGGTCACACTCTACAACCTGTCTTCCCATGTTCTATTCATTTTGGTGGCATAGTCACCCAGACCCAGAATCTTGGTGTCATCTCGCAATCTTCCCTTTCCACCCTGCCTTACAACTCACCCCTTAGCAAGTGCTATTTAGCTTGACATTGTCTCTTGTATCAATCCTGTCTCTGTCAGCTATTGCTGCTTAACAAACAACCACAGAGGGCCGGGCGCGGTGGCTCACGCCTGTAATCCTAGCTCTCTGGGAGGCCGAGGCAGGCAGATTGTTTGAGCTCAGGAGTTCGAGACCAGCCTGAGCAAGAGCGAGACCCTGTCTCTACTAAAAATAGAAAGAAATTAATCTGGACAACTAAAAATATATAGAGAGAGAAAAAATTAGCTGGGCATGGTGGCACATGCCTGTAGTTCCAGCTACTCGGGAGGCTGAGGCAGAAGGATTGCTTGAGCCCAGGCGTTTGAGGTTGCTGTGATCTAGGCTGACGCCACGGCACTCACTCTAGCCCAGGCAACAAAGCGAGACTCTGTCTCAAAAAAAAAGAATAACCAAAACTCTTTTGAGACGCAAGGACTCAGTGGGGTGCTTGCCCTACCAGATACTGGCACACACTTTCTGAGGTCCCTCTGGCTGTTCTCCGGGAATAGAACGGAAAGGGGGCAAAGGCGAAAGCTGGGAGCCCAGTTGGGTGCTGTTGGTGTCGTCCAGTGCAGGGTTGGTGGCTTGGAGTGCAGCCAGAGAGTGAGGAGGCAGAGCCATGTTTGGGTTCTGGTTGTGTTTTTGAGTTAGAACCAACAAGGCTTGCCAATGTGAGATTCAGGGAAGGGAGGAAGTGGCCTGGGCTCTCTGTTTGCCAGCCTGGTGACACCGTTTCCTGGGATGGCAAATGCTGGAAGAAAAATAGAGTGGGCCTAGAAACCAAGAGTGTTTTTCAGCACGTTGTGGTTGGGTCACCTGTTAGCTGTCCCCAGGGAGCTGTCCCGAGTTTGGCCTGGTAGGAGGGTCTGAAGATCTGGAAGAGGTCACACTGGAAGTAGGGTCTGCGAGTCGTGTGAACTGTTGATGTTCACGTGGTACTTGAGGCTGGGGACCAGATGGGATCACCCAGGAAGAGGGTGCAGGTGGAGGAATTGGCAGAGTGAGCAGAGGGGACGGAGGAGGAGGAAGAGGTGGCAGAGAAGGCCCCAGAAGAGCACATCGGAACCATCACAGCCGTCCTTCCCTGGGAGCTTCAGCCAGCCCCACACGTCACACGCACCGTCCCCTCCTCCCTCGGCAGGCCTCTGGACATAGCGGGTACCAGGACATGGGAAGGAACGCCCTCTGGAGAACCAAAGGACCAGGAAAAGGAAGGGCCCTGGGTTTGGCAACAAGGTCACAAGCCCTGGGTGTCAGTGGAGGTGAGGACAGGAGTATGGACAAGTCTTGCGAGAAGCTTTTCTGGGAATGGCAGCAGAGAAAGGGAACTTGTTAGGTGACGGGGAGGTGTGGGGGAAAGGGACATTTTTGTGTTTTTGAAAGAAAGACGATAATAGAGCAATTTAAGAGAAGGGAGGGAGTGTATTTGTAAGTGTTCTTGAAGCATCCATTTATAGAACAATAGTGTGCTCATTCCAGACTAGCGCAGAGCACACGGGCCTCTCTTGGGTGCTTTTGTAAACCTGTAAGCCTCTGCGACTCCACGTAGCCAGACCATGTTTTGCAACAAATGCACTTGAATTCAGACTTGTTTCACAGATACAGACAATGACCTCTCCCGACTTCATGTCACCCTTAAAGGATCTTGAGCTCAGAACGCGGCACCAAGAGGGCTGCTGGCTTTGCCTTTTGCACCACTTTGGGATGATTTGAAAGCAGCCCTCTTGAAGGCAGGGAGCTGGCCCAGATGGCCTCTTGGGGCCCTTCCATCCTTGCCTGCATTGCCCTCGGCCCCAGACAACCCACCTCAAGACAGGGAGCAGCGCTGTTGTAGGGCAGTGACCTGAATTGCCCCAACACATTCACTCCGCCTGATCCGGACACCTCTTGGTGTTGCTGTCACCTGCTCCTCCAAGCAGGAGGCAGGGCTGGGGCTGAGAGCTGGCCCTGGCTGCTGGGACACTTCTAACACCGCCTGAAGTAGTGCAAACTTTCCAGTATGAGATCTGGAAGGTGCCAGGAGGTCCGCGCAGAT